AGTTGATCACGTTTTGTTGAGCGAATAGGATTGGAAAATTCCTAGTTTTATTGGATAGTAAGAAAATGCAACTCATTTTCTATCTTATCTATTCTATTATGACTTGAAATCTTAATAACTGCTCTCCACTGAAATGCTTTTATGTAAAAAATATTAACAATAAAATATTTTTTACAGCCCTCATTATGTTACACACAGCCATTATTACAATTCAGAATTAATGAACAAAGAAAATGCCTCAAACTGAAAGTTTTTAAAATGCAATCCAATACTTCCATATTCAGCTTTGAGGATTGGCCACTTGACCCTCTGAGTCCCCCGAGTAAGGGTAAGAGCCGGTCAATAACCTTTTGACAGAGCTGTTGACATTATTCCATTCAATGACGACTCGAGAGTTGAACCGCAACATTATTATGATTAACTGGCAGACGCCCACACATAACTTCGTTTGCGTGAAGATATTATATGAAAACGAATTCTCGTGCACAGACGACATCAAAACAGGCTAGGTATACATGTTTATTGCAAACTCGCCTGTATTACAAACTGATTAAGACCACAGACTGATACTTAGTTTGACGTGCTCCCGTCTGTAGACGATACCTTTACACATTTTTATTGCAAAATTGGCCCTATAACAATTACACCTAATAAATTATTATGATCTTACATCTATCCTACTAAAATTATAAATGCGAAAGTTTGTAAGGATGTATGGATGTCTAAGTACTTATGTTACTCTATCACGTAGAATCTCTTTTTCTTTTCAGATTTTGACGAAACTTTTCAGTATTATTTATTGTACATCAGAATATCTTAAAGGGTATAATTTATGACTTTTGACAAATTTGATTTCACGCGACATCTAAGTTCAATAGTTTTGCGTTAAGTAGAAGCACATGTAATTTCCTTTCCCGTTCGTAATATTAGTCCTACTGCTAAAATGCTACTGGATTGAACAGTAAATCACAGCACGATAGAATAATTTATACCAGACATTTTCATAAACGATGTTTTCCGCCCAGATTTGACCTATTTCAGCCAAAAAGAGAAAATTTATAATTTATAAGTAGAGACTCTATACGTCTCTCTATGGTAATATTACATGAAAATATGTGTTTTACTATGAAATGTAATAACCGGCTTGCGTGGCTATTTAAATCCTACTATAATATAGGTCTGTCATAGGAAGACTATGAGGCGTGTGTTCGACTCCAAAATTGTGTTCTAAAAACCGGGATAAAAACTATCATATGATTTTTTCTGGGTCCCAAACTATCTCTATGTAATTAAATGGAAATGTACCTACTAGACAGACTTTGGGTGTTTTATAAAAGGGTGTTTTACCTACTTACATTGCTTGTATATCTACTGCCGATACATAGAGGCGTGCATTGGCCAAGATCCGAGGTAGATTCAGTCTTAGACGATGAATTTTTTGATTTATTACTTCTAGCGGGCTATCAATCATTCCGGGCCTTATTGTGATTTTTACAACGGCGCCTGCCGAGGAAATTATTTTCCGGTGGCGTTCATCTTACAATCAATCACAATTTGACGTTAAGTGTGACGCAATTTGTGCAGTGACTTGGCTTGTTATGATTAGTTTGAGATTTGGATTACCTTTGTCATTTTAATTATAAAAACATCAGTGAAAAAACCCTATAATTTTAAGTCTCAATTGAAATATTTCCCAGACAAGCTGAAGATCTTTGAAAAATTCTTAAAAAAGAGTTCTAAAAACAGTTTATATCTGTGGCGGCATTGTACTGGCCAGAAATATAATATGCCATAAAAATAAAATGCATTCCGAATTTAAATATTCATAAAAAAGAAAAACATAACACTATCGGTACTTCAGATAAAGTTCCACGTCCAAAATTTTCCATACGGCCAGTATTCTACCGCTCGATATTCCACAGATAGAAAAGCACAACATTGTAAACACAGTCTGTTTTGTTCGTCCTTATCTTATTTATTGCTCGCTCCGATCGGATGCATTGCTGTGGAAAAGTAGCTGTACATCCGCAAAGCTAGTGATGGGCCAAAATTTAATCTGATCTCATGAATCAACCGTGATTGATGGTTGAATTTTTATGATTGGTTATTAATCACTAACATTAATTTCAATCAGTTGTTAAATTATAATTGACTGGAGTTTGGTATTTCAGACAGTTAAGTACCCATTATGATTCATTTGTTTTTTTAACTAGAAAAGTTCAGCATCTTAAATTAATAGTCATAGTAAACGCAACATATATTCTTGGTTAGGAAAGTGTCTTTTTTAGTAAAGATTTTCAATTCAAGTTATCTACTAATTTTAATGAAACTATTATATCTACAACACACCTAGTATATTAAACATGAGCTTAATAATAATATTATCACTCAAAAGATTATAATATAATGCTTTAGAACGAATTCTTCAGTCATGATTGATGAATTGATTGAAAAATCTAGCTTCTTTTCCCAACACTACGAACTATTTTTAGGTGCGCGCGAACGCTGGAATGTTTTGAGTATACGCTTGCCTACGTACGGCCGATGCCGGTCGAATTTAGTTTTTGCAAGTCCGGTTAGCATCAATTGAAATAATGTTTTATGCCCAAACAATTTTACTGGTGTTTTCACAAAATACCGTAGTACTTTGAGTCTAGTTATAGCGAGAAACTTGCAAATACAAAACTTAAGATTATTTGAAACCTGTGATTTAAAGACAGCAACACACTTAGGTAGGTACTAATAAGTTTTCACGATGACTTTTACAAAGTCTAAATTATCCTACTTCCTAATTAATATTATAAATGCGAAAGTTTGGATGTCTGGATGTTTGTTACTCTTTCACGCAAAAACTACTGAACTAGTTTTCCATAAATAATCATAAAACCAAGACGATAGGTCATAAATTTTGTTTAAAAAAAATATATAATTATAGGTATTTATGTTGTTCGCGTTTACTCTGAATGGCTCACTTTAGATATTCCAAAGTCATTGCACCCTAGAAATGTGAATAAATATTGCTAAATAAAACATTATCCAAACAAAAGTACGATTTATGTCCACCAAAAGACTGAAAGATTTACTGTTACATTAAAAGCTGGGCAATTCATTCCGACATAAAATAATACGAAGTTATGATAGACGACCACTCGTTCTTATCTTTCTTTTGTCTATAATTATGACAACCCACTTATGTAGGCAACTGAGGACATTGGCATTTTGTGCCCGATGCTGCGAACGTTGAAAAAATTTAGGCTAGAATTTGCGTTTTCTTTGTTATTATGTTTTTTCTTGTATTTATTTTTTAGTAGCTTTCCGCCCGCGGCTTCGCCCGCGTGGAATTTTGTCTGTGACAGAAAAACAATATCGCGCGCGTAATTGCTCACTGTTTAGACCTACCCTGGACTACGACAAATATTTTAAAACCAAAATCAGCTCAATCGGCCCAGCCGTTCTCGAGTTTTAATCAGACTAACGAACATCAATTCATTTTTATTTATATACCTAGATAGATTTCTTACCCATCTGCTATTATGACTATTTTTTAGACGTTCCTATCAGTATTGTTTGTCTTAACTTTATCAGTTCTTTCACAGACTGGCAAAAAGTTCTGAAATGCATGCAAGAAGTTCTGTGCATAAGAGTTACGAATTCGCTTACTTGTATATTTTGCCCAATATGAAGGGGAGGAAGATTGACATAATAGAACACTTGTAACACGTAATTATTGAACAAAAAATGTAGTATCTCAGTTTTATAGTCATCTGAGAGGGTGTTACAAGTAGGTACCTACGATAAATACCTACTGTACGAGGGCCTGTTAGCACAATGTAATGCGTCAATAAAGTTTTGTTTCTTTCATCAAAAATCAACTGTCCTTCAAAGTAAAAACGTCCTAAAAATATTATTTTCAAAGCATTATTTATACACGAGTAAACAAAAAAGATTTTAAGGTCTTTACTCGTGTTTTTATCCTCCGTATCCGTGATAATAAATTAATACATCCCGTGAACTGAACGTTGTCATCACCTTTGTTGTTCCCAGCGCGATCCTGTGGAAATCTCGGCCGTGGAAACAAAACAACTCGCTAGTGATGGGAAACAACGACTCGAAAATATCCACTCGATAATTTTAGACTACTTTTGCTGTAACGTCCTAAGAGCTTGTTTATTTATATTTGACACATGGTTCCTTAGACAAAGCAATCAATTCGATATATTTTTAAGTATTTTGACTGTTATTCTTTAGGACCATAACAACCCCAAATATTTTTTATGGTTTTTCACACAAGCTTGTGAGAAACTTTTATAATTTAATTATGATAAGTATGATGTCTTGATTAGATTAAATTGATTAACTATTTCTCAATTTTAACACCACATTGTGCACAGTAAAGACTCAGTAGAGTACACGTTTGTACTCATATTACTCGTTTATTCTTCAAAGATCTAAGTTTCATTTTATCGTAGGTGCAAAGCACATCACTATCGCCAGCGGATATAACGATGTCCGCATAAAATATGCAAACGGTGACCTCCGCCGTCCTCTTTATCCAACTCTGGATTTGTTTCAATAACTGGAGGAGAAAGTTCTTTGAGAACCTTGTTTCACCATGATTCACTTGTCCAATGTTGTTCAAGTTTTTGTAGTGTTAATGGAGTTTACGTTGAGTTTTTGTTATGGTAGTTTTCTTTGGAAGTACGAACTATTTTTATTCAGTGCAATTTAATTAGAAATCAATGAGAAAAATTAGATTTTTGAGCAAAGACTACTACGAGCACTAGACGGACATCATAAATCCCAATAATTTAAAATGAAATACACATTATGAAGTGAAATATTAAACAACCTTTCAATCCAGTATGGCAAATAATTATTAATTTTAAATCGTCGGTAAACTTTTGATAAGTAGGGTAAATGTTTCGAATAGAATACATAAAATAGTTTACAGATTTCAGACTTTTTACTATTCTAAGAGTAAGAGAGGTCAAAACACTTACTGATAGGTATGAGGCCGCTGTTGAGCATCGTCAGCTTGATGCTGTTAGGAATGGAGACGAGGCTGGTGGTGCCGCTCGTGCGAAGGTCCTTGTTCTTCTTCGGCTTCTTCTCCGCGTCATACCGGTTGGTAGACCGCGACCGCTGGCGGTTCCTCTGGCTGGCAGCCACAGACGTTCCGCGCTGTCCCGTGCGAGATGACATGCTGACTACACTATTTACCAACTGCCACTGTTTTAACGCGATCAACTGACGTCAACGGTATTAATTGCACATTATCATTTTACGACACCAAAACTTTTATATTTTTAACCGAAAATTTTCATCGGAAACTACTAACTATAACTATGAATATTATATCAAAACACTAATATTTACACTTTATACAATTTGACACAATGTTATAGTCTAACACATTACGGTTGATTGGCGAATTCGGGAAGCGGTGGGTTGTGCGCTATCATAATAGCCCGGACATGTTTTGTTCGGTGGAAGTCACCCCGCGACCTGGAACAAATGAGAGAAAACATCTACATTATTCAATACCTATTACACATCTAAAATTACATTCTGATTCAGTTGAATCGATTTTTATATGTTTTTGCCAACCGTACATCGTTTATGATAACAAGAATTTTCCTTACGTTACTTGATAGTGGAAAGTTACGAATATTGCTACTAAATAATGTATTTTTTTGTCCACCATGATTATATTCGTAAAATATTTTGTCCCTTCGTTTGACTGGTTAATCTCCGAAACGACTTGATAGATTTGATCGGGCTTTGCAATGGCAGTTATTGATGTTCTTAGGAGCAATTTGAGCTAAGCTTATTTGAGAATAATGAAAAACCGGCCAAGTGCGGGTCGGGCTCGCGCACAAAGGGTTCCGTAGCAGCAAATATAATAAACTTATTATGTCAATTTAATCAACCTATCTCAAAAACTATAAGAGATACTTTGATCAAACCAAAAATCGTTGAAAGAGTTAATTAGCATGCATCACCTCTATTTTTTTTAGAATTTTATACCCCGTAGTTATAAAAATAGAGGGGGGGGGACATACTTTTTACGACTTTGAGAGCTGATATCTCAAAAACCGTTCACTTTAAGAAAAATGTTTTTTAGAAAACTTTATATCATTTTAAAAGACCTTTCCATTGATACCCCACACGGGTATGTACATCGAAAAAAAATTTTCATCCCTCAGTTACATGTATGGGGGGCCCCACCCCCAATTCTTTTTTTTACTATTTAGTGTCATAATTTTGTAGCGGTTCATACAACACATATTCCCATCAAATTTCATCACTGTAGTACTTATAGTTTCCGAGTAAATCGNTTTAAACATCCAAACGAAATATTGCTATTAAAAAGTGATGGGAAATTTACAATTCTATATTGCGCATATTTTCAATTTGATATTCCTCAAATATATCACGGAATTTAAAGCTGCAATTAGACTAAATATCAGACTATATGCAATTAGACTAAATATCAGACTATATCTTGCACTTAAAAATGTTTGCATATATTAAGATATAATTGAGAAAAAAAATAAAAACAAAAATCACTAAAATCATTTTTCCTAATTAACTGAATGCGTTTACGAAGCACTTAATACGCTTATTACGTGTAGTTTTAAGATCTCTATGAAGTATTATAACAATTCTGAATTAAATGTTATTAGTTAACGAGTGAGAATATTTTTGCATAATTTTGAAGTAAAAAAATAGGTAACTTTGAATTTTTATACCGCAAAAACTACGTGGAATTTTCAAACGGGAGTTTTACTATCATGTTTGTATAACTGAGCTCTATACGTTTCATCAAATCAATGAGAATGTCCGTTTATACAGTCCCATAACACACTGTGCGATTATATATTATGTTTGACTGGTTAATCTCCTAAACGACTTGATAGATTTGATCGGGCTTTGCAATGGCAGTTATTGATGTTCTTAGGAGCAATTTGAGCTAAGCTTATTTTAGAATAATGAAAAAAGGAAAATAGAATTAGAGATCCGCGCGAAAAAATATTTATCTTTATAATTGACTTAAACCTGTGAGAGACCGAAATCTACACGGACAAAGCTTATATTTAAATACCAACACAAAGCGTACATCAGAGAAATAACTTTTATAATGTTCAGTTCACGCGAACGTAAGGAAATGCCTTCGCGAAGGTGCGACGTCACCGCAAGCCGTGACCGCAGAGTTGTTTAAATGTGTTTACATTTATGAGTTTCACGAATGTCCTAATTCATTCATAATGAAGTCACTCCGCCTTTATTTAATGCAGAGCGACGTTTAAATATTTTATTTGGGTTACGCGAATGCTAAATAGCTTTTGGAGCTATGAAATATTTGTATTTGTGCTTTGGTTGTGTTGTATATCGGAAATGAAATTGTAGTCATAAAAGTATTTATTCGGAGTACAAGTAAGTACATTGTGAGGATATGTATTGGGATGGGAAATTCCTGTTAGTAAAAACTGTTTTTAGGTTTGTTCTGAATGAAATCTGGAATTCCCGAAATAATCCAAATACGAATGACGGGAAAAGCTAAACATTGTAGCATGTTATGTAATTATCCTGTTTTCGCCTCCGAGATTTATTTTACCGTGTAGTACCCCTGTACGACAAGCCAATCCGCACACAATATTCAGCGTAGTAGTAGTAAAAAACAAAAGAGCGGGCAACCCCACCCCTACCACGCCGTGGGCTCGGTGTCCGAGCGGTCTCATTCCTTTGTGCGCACGCGCAACGACCGCACGCAGTATAAGAAAAATGCTTAAGTGACGTCACCAGGACGTTTTTACCGACAAAAAACGTAATTATTTTAAGTTGTGCAGTGTAGTGACGAGAATTAGACCCAACACAAGGTTAGTTGTAACAACTATTTTGTGCAAGTGCTCGTACATTTTTATTATAAGCGTTGTGACACGACGCGTAACTTTGACCCATTTTTAGCTCCAAGTTAACGCGCGATGTTAACCAGTAGCCATTTTTTGCTCCGAGGTAATGCGAGATGTTACCCAGTAGCCATTCTTTTGCTCCGAGGTAATGCGAGATGTTACCCAGTAGCCATTTTTTTCTCCGAGGTAATGCGAGATGTTACCCAGTAGCCATTTTCTGCTCTAGCGAGTTAATACGAGATATTAACCAGCAACCACTTTATATTCGGTCATTTTTGCGGGTCATTTTTTAACCAGTAGCGTTAATACATTCAAAATTAGAAAATAGAAAATAATAATTTACTTCTATTTATCGATAATAGGAAACCGTATTAGAACACGAGCCCTGCACTATGTTACGACCGGCACATGCGGCCGTACTGTGTATTTTCACGCGTCAGTGGATATCGGAAGAAATAAAATACATTGCGCAGTAGTTACGCATGACATAAAGTGGTTGCTAACTAAATCGTCAATGTACAACGTGTTTGAATTTTTATCACCACTAATTTCGATATCGCAGTAAATGTCACGGCACTGAATTCGTTCGTAAAAATGTTTAGTTTTTTTTATTTATAAGCAAAATACCAATGGATTTGCAATACTTACATGTGGTAAATGACTTCATTGTTCCTGTAGTTCTTCGTTTCACTTATGTTATTGCACGTTACGACGCATTATCCAACAATATCGGAGAACATTTCCTCAGTACGACTGAATCGCGACTGACCTGGCGTCGCGGCCGATGTTCGTTTCTGGGCATATCGCGGAGACACGCGCCACGCCCCCGTTTCACATCTATTCCCTTCTATGATCTGAGATTTATTCAGAGTACAAGTACATAGTGGAGATATGTATTGGGGATGGGAAATTCCAGTTAGTAAAAACTGTTTTTAGGTTTGTTCTGAATGAAATCTGGAATTCCCGAAATAATCCAAATATGAATGAAGGAAAAACTAAACATTGTAGCATGTTATGTAGTATTAATAAGCGCGATATTGAAATACAAACAGTGATGTGCTCACGACTCTACTCTTTGATTTTGCTTCGGCATTCAATCTTTCATCTTCGCACACCTCTTCATTAACATACTATGGTCTTAACATCTAGAAATCTACTTTCCTAACAGACACGTTCGTGCGACTAAGTGACAGGTGTCTTCAAGCATAATTTATACATCGGAATCTGTCTCGGCTCAGTCCGGCCGTGCCAAGCGAGACCCAGTAGGAACGAAAGTATTTAGTATTAGCACAAAAATAGCTTTCTGCGAATCGTTATTTGAAAACAATGACTCTTCAATTGCAATCGAAATAAAACACTGACGAATTCGTTTTTCGAATTCCGCAAAAAACAAAACACAAGCGGCGCACGCGTGTGAGTCGTGGAATGAAATTTGCGGTGAAAGAGATATTTACTGATTGAGAGTGCATAGAGTTTACGTGCGGGTTCGCTGATTGTATGAATTTGTGAATATGATTTTTATTTTGATTGCCCATTCATACTCCTTCGTTCTGCATGCGTAAATAGATAAAAATAAACAACCAAACCATCACATACCACATCATATCTAATCGCAAACGCATATTGTGTTAGTTCAGGCTATAACATTATGATTGCACATTGTATATAACTCCTTCGATTATTTATACTCATCACTATGGCTGAATTGCACCACCCAACTTTAACCGTAACTATAACGATAATATAATCGGTGCTTTTTGTTTGGAGTTAGACATAATTTTGACGTTTTTTAAAGTTAAAGTAAGACGGTGCAAAGCAGCCTATTGATTAGTCCCCATGAGATTCAAAATCACAACTAAAACAAGCAATGTAGTTAATTTAGAACATGAACTACCAGGCCAGGCCGTTATAAAACGTCCATAGCACCAATCAACCTTCTCTTAAGAAATCAAAGCCAATTCATTAAACATTAACTCTATCCAAGACTGAAATCAAAACCCCTTTCAAAGCCCAACCGGGTCGAAATATGGCAGCAAAAGTTTCTGATTATAAATGGGTTATAAGGTGATGGAAAGTCACTGATTCCACAGTGATGACGTCCTTTCATTCATGCGACGGTTTTAACTCTGACGAGCTCCCAAAAATAGATAGGAAGTAGTATTCCATTATTTTAAACATATTTAAATTTGGAATTTTGCCGCTATTTCGTTTAGGTACACGCATAGAGGCTTTACAGAAAGACTAGGCTGAGTTACACTAACTTATTTTAACTGTAACTATGACATGAATCGGTGTTTTTGTATGGAGTGCGACAGATTTTTGACGTTTGTCAAAGTTAAAGTAAAATGGTGCAACCCATCCTTAGTGTTAAATTGCGTGGTGTTGTTTTTTAAAATATTTTCTTAAAGAATGCCTTAATTACGACTGCTTTTTAACATTTTAGTTAAATAAGTTTTCGTTTTGCGTTCATAGTCTGGAGTCCTAACTATCAACGTAAAACGTCCTGACTCAAAACAAATTGTAAACTCATGAATGTTTTTTGGAATTGTATCTAAGCCTCACTTTTTTCAAGAAGTTGTAGACATCTATAAA